TTGGAAAATAAAATAAGGTGTACCTATTATATGGCCTAGCAATTCAGTTTCTAGGCCTGTACTACCTTGGAGAAACTCTTGCACAGGTATGACAGAAGGTACCTAGCAGCATTGTTTATAATAGGAAGAAAATGGAAACAACACAATTGCCCATCCACTTGAGACCAGGTTAAGATATTACCATATGTCATTTCATACTGAAGTGAAAACGGAGCAGATAAAAAGCTACATTACACTCTGATTAGTCCGAGTCTCAAAACATATTATATTGAAAGGAAAAATAGCTGATTAGTAAACTTTATAAAGTTCAAAAACATGCAGACTATAAAGGGTCTGTATGTAGATGCAGCAAAACCATAATAAAAAGCTGGGGGATTTTAAACACAGATTTTCCGGTATAGGTTACTCTTACCAGTGGAGGGTAGACGGCTAGGCAGTGGAATGGTGTAGGGACAGGCGTGTGGGGAGCTTCAGAAGTAGGTGTACTGTTCTCTTTCCTGAGCTGGGTTCCTACATCTTTCTATCACTATTTTCACATACATATACATAATGTGTAGCCTTCTGAATGTCTGAAATATTTAAAAATGGTAAAGTTAGAGTGATATTACAAAATCTTTCTTAATCAGCCATCCTAATATTTCAGTGCATTGTTGTCAGGAGACTGCTTCTATTTTTCCAACATAAATCTCTGACTTGGTTTCTTTTTTTGTCATGTAAAATTATCCCATGGCTTTCTTTTGTTTTATGATTTCATTGTGCTTTACAAACTACATGCCAAAACGCATGTTCTTTAGAGGAAATTTTTGTAAACAGTTTGCTACCGTTGGTAGGAAAGAGTTTGGAATTGTTGAAAAAAATTTTGCAGCAGGAATTCTTTATTGGTTTTCAGCTGTTCTTGATGCCACTGGTGTAAGTCTGTAAGCAAACGTATTCTTTTCTACGCATACATATGCAGACTTGGCTTTTCTCCCCCTGTCATTAGGCAAGTGAAAGACCAGAATAAGAAGGTAGCAAATCTGAAGCACAAGGAACAGGTGGAAAAAAAGAAGAGCGCGCAGATGCTAGAGGAGGCGCGACGGAGGGAGGACAACCTCAACGACAGCTCCCAGCAGCTACAGGTTAGAGCACAAGGAGAATCCGAAAGGATCGGGCGAAGAGGCTGAGCCATAATCGCATGTTGTTTTCTCTTCATCTTTATCCTCCTCTTTTTTCTCTTTCTAACCCTGCTTGCTGCCTTCCTCTCAGACCAACTGGTAGCAATAAAGGAATGGCTTTAAATAGAAAATGCAAGTTTTATTCCACAGCTTTGTGAGGACACTTCAGCGTAGGAGAAAGTTCATCTTGCTTCAAGTTGATCACACGTAATTGGTAAGTTCAACGACAGTTCGACGAGTGGTTCTGTTAAGCTTCAGGGCTGTCAGTGTAACTGCCAATTCCATGCATTAAAGTGCATCGCTAAGATTGATTTGTATCTTTCTTCCTTTTTTCCATTCTTCTTTCTCTTTCCTTTCTACCTTTCTTTCCTTTTCTTTCCTCAATCTTTCCTTCCTTTCCTCTTTTAAAAATTCAATTTAGAGAGAATATTTTATCGTCTTACAGGACATAAAAACT